CTGTAAAAACCCAGTATAACCCGGGATAACGGTCTATCCGGAACCCCAACTGACAGGGTTGTTTTTCTTCTTTTTATTTTTATATGGTATAAAAATTATGTCCGCATATTTTAGTAGGCCTATAACTTTTTTTATACTGTCACGTATAGCACAGAGAGTGAGAACGAAAAACAGTATTTGATTCATGAACGAATTTTTGACAACTATCTAACTATCTTGACTATCAGAGGAAAAAATAAAGACAATAGTTACACCCCATTTTTTTCATAAAGAACAAACAAAATTGTAATTAGTAGAGTTTTATTTCTAAAACGAATCAAACTAATAAAAAATAAACATAGCTTACATACCTTTCATTCAAAACTACGCCATCCTTGCTTAAAGTTTGAATATACTAGTTTAAAATCACAGTATAATATAATTCGTGTAGGCCTATGAAACACACCTATATCTCGTAATTACAGTTTAATTTACATTAAATACTAGCTTCAATGACAGCCCCACTTTGCGCATGCGCATTAAAATCCAATACTGCGCATGCTCGTCAAACATCCAATACGTATTGGATCTGATCCAGCTACGTCATCGTGCTACAGGCTGCAGGGAGGACACACTCGAAATCATAGCACATGAGCTGTCTTAACCTCGGCTTGTGTACTGCATCATCACTGTGTCTGTCACACGACTCTGTTGCCCTTTCGGGCTTGAACTGATGGTACAACTAAAGACATTATTAACTGTCTTGATATTTACTTTGAAAGCTGACGCTCGCGATTATGGTAAGGGGCGTTACATGTCCGACGCATGCTTGTGGTGTTCGGCCAATCACAATGCACTGGGTCAGCTGGCCAATCAGAGCAGACTGCGTTTGTCAAAGGAGGGACTTTGTTGAAAACTACGTGTTTGAGAGAGGCGGGGCATAGAGGACCTACAATAATGTACAGTATTTGAAAAATAATGTGTTTTTTGAACATTAAAGCATGTCAACATATTCCGTTACACCAAATACACAAAATAATGATCTTTTACAATAGCATCATATGACCCCTTTAAACATCTTTTACTGTACCCATTTAATGGCCCTTATATTACCTATTTGAGCCAATGCAGATGAATGAAGTTATCTCAGGATGAGACCGCCCTGATTGTAAAGCAAAACGTGATTGGCCATAGCGAGATCGTGCTACGATTGGTCAGCGAAATGTGGCTGTTAGCTGATTGGCTTGAGTAGACGGTGGGTGGAGTCCACGTATTTGTGGATTGTCAGCACGTCTTGACGGAGGAAATGTTTCACAATTCGCGAATGCATAGCAGCTATCTACAAATGCACAGGACGCAATTCACAAATGCCTGAAGTTATCTACAAATGCACAGGACGCAATTCACAAAT